AAGTGTACCATTTTGCATTCCCACCAGCATGAGAGTTCTTGTTACTCCATATGAATTTTAACATTCAAGTTTTTAAAGAGTACTCCATATTTTTAAAAGTAACTTATGTAAAAAGTGAAATTTTGACTGTGAAACTACACTTCCACATTTCCAATGGCGCCAGATGGGGGACCACAGGTATGTGTATAGGGAAGCCAGAGCCCTCAGTGGTTACGGAAAGTGGCGATTAAGAAGATGCCATAAACATTGTTTATGAGTATCTCCTGGACCCCAGTTGACTTAACTTCTGCCCATTTTGAGATTATCCTCCCAAGTGTGCTGCCACAATCTGTACAGATGGAGATGGGACTCCTTCTGTTCAGCAGCCTTGCTCTGGAGCCACTGCAGATACTGAGTGAAGATAAGGAACTGGGGGAGAGGATCACAGAAGAAAAGGCCCACGTAGTCAGATTTTCATTCTGGTCCCAAGCTTCATTACAATAATTCCCAAGTGTCTTAACCTTAGAAGAAGAAGTCTTAGGTGTGACCAGACAACTTAAAAAACAAAAAAATGTTGGACCAATACCACCAGTCATTATGGCCCCACAGTCCATGTCTCAAAACTCCCCTACCCACTTTTCTCTAAAAAGAAGTTCTACCTTTAGAGACAGACCTGTGCGGAGGTCTCTCAGGAAGCTTCTGGAGGAAAGGCTCTTCCTGGGAGTGAGGTGGGAAACAGGGAGTCTGATTGGCTGATCTGGGAGTGAGGCCGGAACTCCATGGCCTCACACTCCAGGCCTGGCCTCTAGCGCCAACCCCTCTGAGGCTCCCGGCGCATCTCGTGCTTCTGCTCTGGAGCCGCGGGGATGAACCGTCCCCTTTCCGTTCTGTACCTGGCCCAGGGGCTTTGGCTTTGGTAGCAGAGAGGCAGCTGCTACCTTAGGTCTTTTCCAACTCGGCCTGTGGTGGGCAGAGATCACCATCCTCCCTCTCACTTCCACCTCAGGGAGACTAACAGGGGTCACAGCGTGGACCACTCGAAGCACTTCTGCCACCAGAGACATCCCAGATGGACGCCTTCGATGAAGAACTGTTTTCGTACCTAGACTATACTGAAGATGGGACCCTGGACATCCTTGAACTTCAGGAAGGCCTGCAGGACATAGGGGTCATTCAGGACGAAGGGAAGGTGGGCTTCAGTGGGGCTGTGGTCGGAGAGATGTTGGGTCTGAGAATTCTGGAGGGGCCTTGGGCAGAGAAGGGTAAAGCCAAATTTACACGTTCCCAAGCTTGATGCTGGGCCCCATTATAGTTTTCAGGTCTATTACCAGCGTTACTGTATGAAGAATAACAGCGTTAATAATACTCCTCCCAAGCATTTTTCTCAATTTTCTCCCTGGCTCTAATAACACTTCTAAATTCAAATTGCTCTCAAGATGTTGGCTGCAACCTTGTTTTCGGAGTCACCTTGTTCAATGTACTCACCTGTTACTAGTAGCCTAGATGTGCATTTAGGCCAAAGATGCTCTCTTCCCACTTTGGGGAACTGGCATAATCACTGTGTGTTTTGGGAGTTGTGTGGGAGTTGGAAGTTCTCTAATAGTGTATTTTGGTTTCTGTTCTTGGAAGGAGGGTGATCAGTCTGAGTGGCTTGTACTCTTGGGGTTTCTCCCATGCTGATGTTTCCTCATAAGGTGCCTTTATCATCAGACTTTGTTTTTTTTTTTTTTTGGCAGTACGCGAGCCTCTCACCACTGTGGCCTCTCCCGTTGCGGAGCAACAGGCTCCGGACGCGCAGGCTCAGCAGCCATGGCTCACGGGCCCAGCTGCTCCGCGGCATGTGGGATCTTCCTGGCCCAGGGCACGAACCCGTGTTCCCTGCATCGGCAGGCGGACTCTCAACCACTGCATCACCAGGGAAGCCCTATCATCAGACTTTTGAAGAATGAGCTTGGGCATTTTTTCCTTTGCAAATCTTTTCCCCAGCAACCTAGATGAGAGGATCCTTCTCAGTATGCAGTGCCTAATGCATATTTCTATCAGTGTATTTCCAAGTTATCTTCTGTTCAGAAGTTATTATTGAGTATAATTATTACTTTCCAATGATCTTTGCTCTTTGGATGTTTAACCCAATAGATGGAGATCCATGAGAGTTAAAGACTGGCAAATTCATTTAAGATAATTGGCACTTCATGCTCAAAAAACTGTCAAATGAGTTCTGTCGTGTTAAGATTTGGTAAAACTCTTCCTATTAGCCACGTGAACTTTGGGAGTCTTTAGTTTGATCATTCACTTAGTCATTGATCAGTTGTATTTTGAGCACATTCTATATGCCAAGCACTGTGTCCTGGTTTCCTCATTTGTAACATCAGAGGCCTGGACTGGATGCTGTCCATGGACCAGACCAGTCCAAAATATTATCTCTGTAAAGTTTACTTGGATTTTTAAATTGTGTTTTTCCTTTTCAACCTAAATGTCCTTCATGCTTTTTTACAGCTACTCTTGTACTTAGATTTTCACATGTGACTTGTATTGATATTTGTTTATTTGATACAAACTAACCTTTTATAAGAAATTCAGGATCATGCCATAGACAAGTTTAACCCTTTAAAACACATTTCTTCTTTATCAAAACAAATTTTTTTGCATGTTTGTCTTTTGTTTTTGGTAAGAGGTGGTGTGAACCATATAAAGGCTTTTTATGACTTTTTATCACATATCAAAACTCTGGCAGTCTCTGCACCAGGTTCTGCACATAGAACCTTATATTTCAGGGAAACTGATGTGGCTTTTCCTCAGGTGATGGTGACATCTCTAGGAAGTTTTGATGTGAGTTTTCACCCCCATGTCTCCAGCTTCTGTAGTAGAAGTTTATTTATATAGATTGAGAATTCAATTGATTTGAATGCTCCGCGGCATGTGGGATCTTCCTGGACCGGGGCACGAACCCGTGTACCCTGCATCAGCAGGAGGACTCTCAACCACTGCGCCACCAGGGAAGCCCTCAATTGATTTTTTAAATATAGAAATGGTACTTACATACTGCTAAGAAAGAAAAGATACAACTTTTTATTCTGAGAACAGATTTTTTGAATGATATTTGATTTGGTTTGTTTTTTTTGCTGTGAAAGGTGAGAGACTGAATATGCAAATAGACAGTGGTTAGACCGTATTTAAAATTGAACTTTGAATTTTATAATGTGTGCAAATGTCAAATCACTATGTAGTACACCTGAAACTAACTTAATATTGTATGTCAACTATATTTCAATTTTAAAAAATTTGAACTTTGACCTAAGACCTACCCAGAAAACTACCCCTTGTCTATAATAAACAATCCAGGAAGCCAACCCGCTGTAAGTCAGACTTACTGGAAGCCAGAATGCTATCTCTAGTGACAGTCCAGGAAGCTAAACAATAACTTGTGTAACAGTCAGCCCCAAATGGCCAGAAATTAATTGGTAACTGACATTTTCCCCAATTTTTGTCCCTGCTTCCAACTTAAGACCAACTAGAAAAAGCCAAATATGCCCCCCTAACCAACCACACAGGATGCCCCACTTTTGCTTTAGCCCACCTACAGTTTTCCCAGGCCAACAGTCTCCAATCAGGGCATACCACAAAACTCCGTTTTTTCCTACTATAAAGCTTTCCCACTCTTCTTCCTGCCTTTGAGCCAAAATACAAGTGACAGTGGTTGACTTCCTTGCTATAGTAATCTCAGAATAAACAGCCTTTCCTTTTCTCCTTTGACTGGTCTTTATTTCCACAGAGGAATAAGCAATGAAACTCAAAAGTCAGAGTCATTAGACAGTTGTAACTCTGGGAATCTTTATTTACCATAACAAAGGCTAATGAAATATGGGTAAAAAAATCAGGCTGTTCAAAGATAGCGTTAGAGATGTCCTTTAACCTGTAATTTCTAAAATGATCGTTGTTCACTGTTATTTTCATTGACCAAAATATAAACTTCTTAGATGAAACTTCAGTACATAAATGGGGCCCCAGAATGCTGTGACATTTTCTCTTGGATTATGCAAATCTCAGTGTATGTGTTGAGTAATCAGAAAATAATTTCCAGATGAAAATCATCCTCAGTCTAATTTGTAAAAGTAATTAAATAGCAATAATTATTTTTCAGTGACACTACAAATGTATTTGCTTTTAAAACTGTAAGTAATAATTGATGGCATTTAGGTTGCAGATAAGAGAATGCTAGTCATACTAGTTTAAACAAAAAAGGCTAGAATTCTTTGTAGATACCCTTTATTAGTTTGAGGAAGCACCATTCCTAGTTTGCTCAGAATTTTTAGTCACGAATGATATTGAATCCATCAAATGTTTTTCCTCATTTATTAAGGTAACCACATGACTTTTCTTTTTTATTCTGTTACTGTGGTAAATTACAAGATTAAAAAATATATGTTAACCCAACCTGGGATTACTGTAATACATTTATCTTGTGTATGTATGTGTGTCCATATATAGTGTTATGTATATATTTATTATGTACATATGTATATATAATATATAGTATTATACATGTACATATGTGTATGTGTAATACATATAGTATTATATGTGTATATATATATATATAGTATCCATTTATATATTGTTGTATTCATATAATTATAAAAATAGTATTATCAGTTTTATATATTGTACCCATATATATTATGTATATATATATTATGTGTGTGTATATATCAATACATATATTTGTGTGAAATAATATATTATTTCTTTCTCAAAAGGAATGATTTTTCTTAATAGAGATAGACAGTTTGATATGACAGCTTTTTATAAGAATCATCTTTAGGAAAAGATTATTTAATTTTGGAAATTACAGGGAAAAATACTATTTTAAACATTTAAATTTAGGTCAAGATTTTGTCTTCTATCTTGGGAATTATAAAATACAAGTCTTAATAGGAAAACAGCCAATCTGCTTGACATACAAAACATCTAGTATTTTTAACCCATATAAAAATATCTCTAATTTTTTTCTTTTTTTGTAGAAAATTTTTACTACTGGTGATGTCAACAAAGATGGAAAGCTGGATTTTGAAGAATTTATGAAGTACCTTAAAGACCATGAGAAACAAATGAAACTGGCATTTAAGAGTTTGGACAAAAATAATGATGGTGTGTCTTTCTTTTCTGTTTCTCACCAGCTATGAAGAAGCACATCTCGTGCTTCCAAAAGTCTAAAATAATGTATATTTAGTCAGTCTATTTTTAGATGATAATTATTACTTGTGTTAATACTTGTTTTTCTTAGTAATGTGATTTTTATATAGAATGTTTTTATTGAAGAAAAGTTACATGTCGCTTTGCCCAATGAATCATAAACTGTGAGTAGGGCCTTTGTAAAATATTAATTATGGAACCTTATACTGATTTGACTTAAAGCTATGGGTTAAAAATAATAATTATGTTTTTTTGCTCTCTGGGCAAGAGAGTTATTTTTATTCATACTAAGCATGAGTATTATATATTCTCAAATTTAAACAACTTTCAGATTTTCTTATATTTGATAGTCTTTTTGAAAGAATTACATGTGATCAAAGAAGATGCTCTGATTCTGAAAGTTAGAAAAGAAAATAGCAGATAGACGTTCAGATATATACCTTCTGATTGGGATTATAGTTTTTCTATTTAGATTAATAGCTTGGAGTTAGAGTCCCAGTCATGTGGAGCAAAAAGTAAGGGCCACTGTAGGAGAAAGAGAAGAGCTATCAAACCCTTATCACCAGAAGCAGCCTTTGATAGGAAGAGGACATTTATTTTAAAAATGTATAATGCAGCCTCAGACCCCTTCCCACGCATGAGTGGTCAAGACCATTTCATTCAAGATTTGTTATTCAAGAAACAAGTTAAACAAATAAATTGAGAGAAAATATGGTTCATACCAGGGATAGGCAAACTTTTTTTTTTTTTTTTTGTAAAAGTCCAGATAGTATTTTAGCTTAGTGGGCCGTGTGATCTCAGTTGCAGGTACTCATTTTTGCTGTCACAGTGCAGAAACAGTCATAGATAATATGTAACTGAATAGGCATGGCTGTGTTCCAATAAAACTTTATTTACAAAAGCAGGCAACTGGCCAGAGGGTTATAGTTTGTTGATCCCTGATTTTTACTGAACATTAACTTCAGTTAGACTCAAGGCAAGTTTCTTCAAACAAAGAAACAACTAAACCCTTTGAATGGTTTTGATGATTGTTCAAATCTGTGACTTGGCCAGGAAGAGCTGAGTTTGTGGTGGAAAGTAGTACTGTTAGAATATTTGTTACCACCCATAAACCTTACATTGTATGTTCCAAGTCTACCTTAGTCCAATCTTGTAGCAAAATTCAATTCTTATAATCAAATTTATTTCTTCCCTCAAACTTTCATCCCACCCTGAACCTCTAAAGTTCAGCTGCAGAGAAGGGACTGTCTATATAGTGTTAGGGCAGGCAGTAGCGGGAGATGAAGCTACCTCAGTATCATCTCCAGATACGTAGAGGCTGATCGTTCAGTACGTACAGTATGCACGTATCAATGGTCCATTTCAGAAAATTCTAAATGAACCAGAAGAAATAATTAAAGGTGAAATATTTTTATTTTATTTTTTATTGAGGTATAGTTGATTTATAATGTTGTGTTAAAGATGAAATTTGTAGTAAATACAAACAGTTTCCCCTCAGTTTATCTTGTTTTTGTAATTTAAAAACACTTTTTCATTATAGGTTCATACTTTTGTTTATTAGACTTTCTTAAAGCAAAGCATATACAGTCTATCCTCATTATCCATGAATTCTGTATTTGAGAATTTTTCTACTTGCTAAAATTTAACTCCATAAGTAACCCCCAAATCAATACTCACAGTGCTCTTGCAGTCATTCATGGATTTGCGCTGAGCAGCCACAAATTTCATTTTCTTGGTGAGCACATTTCTAAAGCTGAGATAGAAAGAGGCGATGTGCTGCGTTCTTGTTTTAGCCTTTTTATTGTAAACAAGTCCTTCTGCAGTCTACTTGGTGCCATGTTTTTTGCATTTTTATGCTTTTTATTGGTGATTTCACTATTTGCAATGGCTCCCAAGAACAGTGCTGAAATGCTGTCGAGTGTTCCTAAATGTGGGAAGGCTGTGATGTGCCTTTGGAAGAAAATACGTGTGTCAGAAAAGCTTCACTCAGGCATGAGTTATAGTGCTGTTGACCATGAGTTCAATGTTTATGAGTCAATAATATATATTAAGCAAGGTGTCTTTAAACAGAAACACACAGAAAACAAGGTTTTTGTATTGATTGGTTGATGAGAATATTGTGACCAGAGGCACAGGAGCCTAACCCTGTATTTCCCTTAGGAACAGCGGTTCGGTTCTTTAGTTCTGTGTTCATGGTGACCTTATAGAAAGTAACTACAATGAATAATGAGAATCAACTGTACTTCTTTGAGAGTGCAATCATAAAGGAGATTATTCAGAGTGGTATTTGAAAAATTTCATCGCTAACAGGGTGACGCCTCTAACTGCTCTTACATTGTCCAGATTCTCGTGCTGCTCCTTTCTTCTCCCTGGGAGAAGTCTCTCCAAATCCTGTCATTCCTTCAAAGTCCTTCCCTTAAAGGGAGTCTTTCCTTTCACCACTAACAGTAATTTTTGTTTTCCTCTTTTCCTGGAGAACTTTGCTCTTAATCCTGGTTTGGCATCAGACCCTTTGGTTTGTTTACCTGTTCCATGCATCTTAGTCTTAGGATCCTCATGGGTCTGTGGGATGCTTGAGGGAAATGCAATCTTACATTTATTGCTTATGTTTTCTCTTTCTTCTCTTCTGATTCTTCTCTGTTCTACAACATGCTCTAATTGCTCTTATAATAATTTTCCTACTTCCATCATCCTACTATCCTGCTTTATTTTTATTGCCAGATTTCTCAAAAGAATATTCCACGCTCTTTGGCTTCATTTAGTCATTTTCTGCTTTCTTTTAACTCAGTGCCTTACATCTTTATGTATAATAAATGCTTAATCATTTATTAAAATGTAGAAATGCGTGCTTTAAAATTAATAGATCCTAGCTTAATTGAATTTACCTCAGAGTCACAGTATCTTGATTTGAATCTCAGTTCTGCTGCTTCTTAATGTCATTCTTGGTAAGGCCATGTAAGCTCTCAGTCTTTTCTTTAGATGGAATGTCATTACTTACCTACAAGGCTGTTAAGATTTTTGAATGAAATAATGTGTGTATATTTGTTTAATGTATTTGTTGAAATTTGAGTTGGTGTTGCAATGTGTACTTAAGCAAATCTATAGCTCATCTAAATTCACAATTTTACCTTAATCAGTTCAAGACTCTCCCTTATAAAGTGAGGGATTTGAAATTCATGATTTCTAAGGTCCTTATCAGTTCTGAGTTTATAATTTTTATTTTTTAAAGGAAAAATTGAGGCTTCTGAAATTGTCCAGTCTCTCCAGATACTAGGTCTAACTATTTCTAAACAACAAGCAGAGTTGATTCTTCAAAGGTAAGCTCTTCCTCTATTGACAGTTTTTTTTTTTTTTTTTTTTTTTTTTACTTTTAGTATCCTGTATTAGAGATCTGCCTTTGTAAGTGTGGCTTAAAACAAATCCTTGTACCTTACCATTCCTCACTATGTACTTTCAATATCTTTCTCCCCTTTTTCTCGCTTTTCATTTTGTGTGTACACGTATACCTAAAGTGTAGGAATGGGAAACTCTTTCAAGGCCTCCAGGGCTGGTGCAATAGAAGAAGCCCTGTTTGCCCTTTGACGTGACTCCTTTACCACTCACACAAAACACTTCACTTCTGAAACTTCTGGTCACTGAATATGTGGGGTTTTTTCCCCACAGCAAGCAATTCTAGCTGACACTACCTGGGTGTCCTATAACGTGACTCAATTCTAACATTGTCTACCTGGAGGTAGTGTCAGATCCCACAGATTAAGGACTCAGTTTCACAAGACTTCTCTCCACTTCAGATGCCAATCGCAAGTAGTAGGTACCCAGATTACCCACATCTTCTGCCTGACTTGACTACACATCAGAGGTTCCCGTGACGTTCTCCCTCCTTGGGTTCAGTTACCTGCTGGAGGAGCTCACAGAACTCAGGGAAACATTTACTTATTCTTACCAGTTTATTTCAGGATATTATAAAGGATACAGATGAACAGGCAGACAAAAAGATATGTAAGGAGAGGCCTGGGAGGGTCCTGAGCACAGGTGTCTTTGTGGAGTTAGGTGTTTCACTCTGCCAGTGTATGGATGTGTTTGCTAACCAGAAGCTCCCTAAATCCCGTGCTATTGAGACGTTTATGGAGGCTTCCTCATGTAGGCATGCTCAATTATTAACTCCATTTTCAGTCCCTCTCCCCCTCTGGAGAATTGGGGTGGGATGGGGGTGGGAAGGGGGCTGAAAATTCCAAGCTTCTAATCATGACTTGGTTTTTCTGGTGACCAGCCCTCATCCAGGAGCCATCCAGGAGCCCACCTAGAGTTGCCTCATTAGAACAAAAGATGCCCTAGTGCTCTTATCACTTAGGAAATTACAAGGGCTTTAGGGGCTCTTGCCAGGAACAGGGAACAGAGACCAAGTTATATATTTTCTATTATCTCAGTGTTTTAAAAGGCAGAATCGGATTGTGTTTTCAGTAGTGGAAATCACGGACCTTCCCTTGAGTGCTTGGCCGTCAGCGTGACTTGTAATACCTCCAAATATCAGCTTCCTTTCTGCCATTTCACTGTCTCTTAGTATACTCAAAACTGAATTCATGGGAGAGAAGTCTGAAAGGTGCTGATTGAAACAGCTGAGGCTGAGTCATCAGAGTATGAGAACAGGAATCAGTTGGTTGAAATACAGCCTCCTAGTTCTACTTTTTCAGTAGACGACATGGGTGGGGAGTAGCTGAAATAGGTAGGCAGTTGCTCCCAAACATGTGTGCTTCATGTATCTTTATCTTCCGCTCTCAAGTAAAATCCATTTTCCATTTAGGCTTTCATCTCCATCCCTCTTTCCTCTAATTTTCTTATCTCTAGTTCCCTCTCCACATTTGTTGAGGACCTTGGCACTTGTCAAATAGTCATTTTCTCTTTAAGTCCTAGGAAACTTCAGTATTCGGGCTGGTGACTCCTCTTTCTAGCATCAGTGTTCCTTGCCTTCCTCAACACACCTGAGACTTTTATTCCATTTTGCTTCAGCAGCCCACTCCCTCTCAGGATTGTATCATAACTTGAAGCCACTCCTCGTCTGAAGTCTTAAAAACCTGTGTATCCTACCTTCTGACCCTTCTTCCTCCAGATTCTACACTATCTTGCTCCTATGGCACTTGCATTTTGACTTACAGATCTCTGGCCCCTTCATTTCCACCAGTCCGTCAATCTCCTCTTGATTGATTCCTTCCACCACTCCTATTTACTTTCCCCCAATCCTGAACCACCCTCTCAGTTGTTCTCTTTGCCCAAGCATTTGGGCTATGAAACATTTCTAGAGAAAAATGAAACCATACAGGCCCAGGAATAACCAAGACATTCTCGGAGAACCCTAAGGAGCTGGGGGCCTGCCCTATCAGATATCAAAGAGTTGTTATAAGCTATAATTAAGACTTAGTGGTATTGCTACACAGATAGACAAGTTGACAAGTGGAACATACCATCCCAGAAACAGACCCAGCCGTATCTGGGATTTGTCACATGAGAGAAGTAGCTTTGCAAATCCCTGGGAAAAGGAGAGACTATGCAATAAATGGTTCTGGTGCACCTGGTTATCCATGCAGACAGAAATACAGTTGGGTACCTGCCTCACGCCGTGCACAGAAATCACAGACATCGAAAACAAACTTATGGTTACCAAAAGGGAAAGGGAGGGTAGGAAGGATAAATTAGGAGTACGGGATTAACAGATACAAACTACTATACATAAAATAGATAAGCAACAAGGATTTACTGTATAGCACAGGGAACTATATTCAATATCTTGTAATAACCTATAATGGAAAATAATCTGAAGAATTTATACATATAACTGAGTCACTTTGCTGTACATCTGAAACTAACGTAATATTGTAAAACAACTGCACTTCAATTAAAAAAATCAAACTAAATGTGAAAGTTACACTGCAGTACCTTTAGAGGAGAAAGAAGCAAATGTCTATATCTCAGTATAGGGAAGAATTTATTTTAAAAAAATACAGAAGTCAGTAACCATATATGAAAAGATTGATAAATTCAGCTGTATTATAATTAAGAGCATCTATTCGTGGACACTATAAATAAAATGAAAAGACAAAGAGAAGGTACTTGCTAACTTACAACTTGAAGGATTAAATCAACTATATAAAGAACTATAAACGTTTAAGAAAAAGACACAACCCATTAGAAAAATGGGCAAAAGATATGAACAAGCATTTCACAAGGGGAAATACATGAACAGCCGATGAATACGATGAGATGCTCAACTTCGTTAGTACGTTGAAGAGAAACACAATTCAAACCCACAGTGAGACTATCTTATTTAAGAAGTTTGTCAGCACTAAGTGTTCTGTGGCTTTAAGCTGCAGAGTTTGGAATTCATTTATTCATTCAACAAATATTTGCTCTGCGCCAGGCACCTTTCTAGACACTTTGGTCACATCAGTGAATAAAATAAAAAATCCTTGCCTTGTGGAGGATGCTTACATGCGTGTGTGGGGGTTTGAGGGGTAGGGTCAGACAATAAACAATTGCATTAAAATAGAAAATAGTGATTAAAAGACAGAGCTATAAATATTTTAACCCAGAAGAATAGTGTCATAAACATCAGTAGTAACTAGGACTCTTATGCAAGATGTGGCACATATATACAATGGGATATTACTCAGCCATAAAAAGAAACGAAATTGAGCTATTTGTAATGAGGTGGATAGACCTAGAGTCTGTCATACAGAGTGAAGTAAGTCAGAAAGAGAAAGACAAATACCGTATGCTAACACATATATATGGAATTTAAGAAAAAAAAAATGTTATGAAGAACCCAGGGGTAAAACAGGAATAAAGACACAGACCTACTGGAGAACAGACTTGAGGATATGGGGAGGGGGAAGGGTGAGCTGTGATAGGACGAGAGAGAGACATGGACATATATATACTAACAAACGTAAGGTAGATAGCCAGTGGGAAGCAGCCACATGGCACAGGGATACCGGCTCGGTGCTTTGTGACCGCCTGGAGGGGTGGGATAGGGAGGGTGGGAGGGAGGGAGACAAAGAGGGAAGAGATATGGGAACATATGTATATGTATAACTGATTCACTTTGTTATAAAGCAGAAACTAACACACCATTGTAAAGCAATTATAGCCCAATAAAGATGTTAAAAAAAAAAATATGGAATGTTAACACCTGTGTGCTGGGACAATTGAAAGTTTAGGTGTAATTTCATGCATGCAATCAAAGTTAAAAGTGGCACTGGAAAATATAATCATAAATATCTGAAAATAGCATTTTATCTGACTGCCATCTTTATGCATCACTTTCACACAAGTCATAGAATAAATATAAAATTCAGAGGAGCCACCAAAACTTTTTTTTCAGATATATTCATTAATTCAATAAATAAATGAGCACTTACTTTGTACTGCCCATTTTAGATGCTGGGTCTACAGTAGTGAACAAAACTATCAAAATCCTGGGCAGTTTAAAGTTGCTTTTAGGAAAATAAACAGGTACAAATGACATTATTGCCAAGAACCTACTAAAATAAGCAAAAAGTTAATGAAAAATATCCAAGGCTACAATATGTTAATTTTAAATGTTGAAGATAAGGTACCAGGATTTCTTAAGACTCAGAAGGCCCAATCACCAAGTTTGATTTTATTTTTTACAATCGTTTTTAATTTTCTTAGCTTAGAGAAAATTGGAGAAGGAAACTGATAGTGTATTTTGAGTATATTCTGAAGTCACATCCAAATGTTACAATAGAACATTAAGAACTATCTTCTTGAGCCAGTGTAAGAAAAAATGGATCATAAATTCATTCATTGCTACCCCCCAATTTTATCTTCCAGCATTAGTGTTTGATAGCTCATTGACTTGGAGTTTGACCGAGCACCAAAAGTAGCCTGTAGTGAGACCTGTAATTTGGGGGTCTATTTTTATCTAAATGATTAAAACAGATTATCAAATGCTTGTTGCCATTTCCAAAAACCTTTTAAGAATATTAAGTTGGAAGAGAAACTGTCACTCTGCAACATGGCCAATAATGTTCGTTTTATTTATACATTTTATTTTGTTCTTTAATCTGCTTCTTTTTATTTTCAGCATCGATGCTGATGGGACGATGACAGTGGACTGGAATGAATGGAGAGACTACTTCTTATTTAACCCTGTTACAGACATTGAGGAAATTATCCGTTTCTGGAAACATTCTACTGTGAGTACACTTTATGTATTAATTTATACTTATTTGGAGCTGTAAGCAATTGGTATGGTTATCATCCAAGAGCACTCTGTAACACTTATGGGCCATGGTACCCGTCTCAATAGCTCTTTAACTTGTAGAGTTCTATGTATTCTGTTTGGTGTATACTCAGAGTATATTAAAGCTTTTTTTAAAAAATTAATTTTATTTTATTTATTTTTGGCTGTGTTGGGTCTTCGTCGCTGCGGGTGGGCTTTCTCTAGTTGCAGCGAGCAGGGGCTACTCTTTGTTGAGGTGCGTGGGCTTCTCATTGCAGTGGCTTCTCTCATTGTGGGGCATGGGCCCCAGGCATGCGGGCTTCAGTAGTTGTGGCACATGGGCTCAGTAGTTGTGGCTTGTGGGCTCTAGAGCACAGGCTCAGTAGTTGTGGTGCACGGGCTTAGTTGCTCCGCAGCATGTGGGATCTTCCCAGACCAGGGATCGAACCCATGTCCCCTGCATTGGCAGGAGGATTCTTAACCACTGCGCCACCAGAGAAGTCCCGGGGCTTTTACTTTTTATCGATAATATATTGCCTAAATAATCTCAGTACCTCGTGGTTGATAATGACCAAAGATCCCTTCTGAAACTTGCTTGTTCAGTCAACCACCTACATTTATCTCTGGCTTAAGGCACCTATAATAATAATCATGGAAGGTTAAAAAATCTTTGGCTCATCTGCTTAGTATTGCACACCTATCCATCTGTATTCTTCTAAACTTTCAAATTTTAATTAAATTTCATTAATATCCTACTGAAATATCCTGGGGTAAATGAAATTCATTTCATTCTGCGATCTGTTCCTGAAAAGAGTGGGAACTCTTTGAGGGAATTTTTATTTTTCTAACGGGCTTGACTTCTATACGTATTCCTGGATTTCAGTATGTTTTATATGCACTAAATGAAGCCTAGAGTTCACATTGTTACTAGTAACAATGCCTAAACTTACCTAGAGCATTGTAGAATTATTGGTGACTAATGCCTTTTCAACTATGAGTATAAAATAGTACTATATTTGTAGTTCAGTTGTCTTGATAAATTTTATACTTATGTGAAGTCATATTTACATAATCAAATTCTTATTGTATCTTGGGAGATAGTAATAGTTGAGGCTACAATCATGTATCCATTTTATTGATTGTAAAATGAAGAAATAGAGGGTTACTACTATAGCAAAGCTCCTTACCCTGACACTCTTACCTATAAAATCTTTTACACTAGAATCATTTAGATAATAAAGTTGTAAAAATATTATTACAGAATTTTGTTTCTGTCAAGCTATGTTTGTAACCTATAGTAATATTTAGAGAAGATTGGAAGGTAGATCGTTTTAAACAATACCTCCCTGTAAGCTAAATTTTATATAGAATCTATTGCATGTTTTAAATGACAAGTCAGATTTATAAAAATATTTACAGACAGTCTATATAGGAAATGAGTTTAGGGGTACTCAAATTACAGTTTTAATTTAATTTTTATTTACATGTTTATAGCACATATCATTTTATAAAGTATAATGTGTATATAATTTTGAGATAAGGTGTGTATCTTTGAAGAACTGACAAATTATTTTCTTTCTGTAGCTAAGGATTCACTACCTCTGATCAAATGCTGCTCTTTCATTCTGACTTAGACCTAGAAGAGAAAAGTTATTCTGAATCTATTAAGAAAAAAGTTGTAATTTTTGGTTTTGTAAATTTGTAATTACTGTTCATTTTCATTTCTTGCGGACTGATACTGTACTTCATTTAGTGTGAATAGGCTACTTATAGTTGCCTATATGCTCAGATTGGCTCAGTATAGCACTTTCTAAGGATTGAAGCTGATCTTAATTATAAAATGTGTAATTCTTCTTTCAAAGAAGCAAACCTTCTGGAATGATCTGTCTTTAGTTGATGGAGCCTGGGGCTCTTTCTTCCATTTTAACAGGGTATTGACATAGGAGATAGTTTAACTATTCCAGATGAATTCACGGAAGATGAAAAGAAGTCAGGGCAGTGGTGGAGGCAGCTTTTGGCAGGAGGTGTTGCTGGTGCCGTCTCTCGAACAAGCACTGCCCCTTTGGATCGTCTGAAAGTCATGATGCAGGTGAGCTTTGCGATCTTCTAAGTTTGCCCAAAATATTCTGAAACAATGAGAAATACGGTGCTTTGAAAAAAGTTTAAAAGATTTCGCAGTGATAGTCATACCTTTAAAAAAAAGTCTCTCAATTTTATTGCTATTAATCCTAAATTCAGTCCATGTTAAGTATTTCAGTGTTTGACCAAACCTTAAATTGTTGGTACATGTGTGTGATGAACTTTTAATCTTGGCTTTCTGTGACTATTCAAATGTTTAATTAGAAAAGGAAATCTCTAGCCATTATTGTAGGGTTCTCCTTAAATTACTTATATTTTCCATGTATTTTATGTTCCTTCTCAAAAGAGGGTTTTTCTGAAATCTAGAATCTTGGAACAAGGATGTAACTTAAAAAATTATTCTAAAGCTGAGGTTGGAAGGAAAGACCTGGGTTTATAAGCTGACTTTCCTATTTACTAGCAGTGTAGGCTTGGCCGGTCAGAGTGAAAAGAAAGAGGGAAAGGAAAGGATTAATATTTATTTGGTGCTCATTATGGTAACCCATTTAATCCTCTAGTAACCCAGCATGGGGGGATTTTATCCTCATATTATCTGTGGGGAACACAAGGCTCAGAGAGTTAAATAACTTTTCCTTTACAACAAATTAGACAAGGAATGGAGTATTTCTGGCTCTAAAGCTCATGGTTCTCACACTGCATGAAACCCCTGAGGCCTCATTTTCCTTCATTCTGGAATGGGAATAGGAATATCTAACAAGGGTAGTTGTAAGAATTAAATAATGTAAGGTATGTGAAAATGCCTGGTAGGCTGGAACACCCTGCTAGAATATACTAGCTGCTTAAAAATGGTTTTTAAAAGTTGTGTTGTTATACCTATGGTCAGCACTTTCTATATTTGCCATTAGATTTCTGTACAAAATGATTTCTGACAATATTTTAAACTAGCATCCATTGAGAATGTACCTACATCTCAAAATATGTTTAGGGGTAAAGATACTGCTTTAAAAAAAAAGGAGAGGGAATTGGCCTGTATGTTTTTCTTTAGGAACAATAGTAAATCGGCTTTGAGAGAGCTTGAATAAACATTCATCTTTTCCTTTGTCATATTTTATTGTGAAGTTTATTTAAAATAAAATGGATATATTTCGACTTTAGTTCCTGAAAGTTCAGGGGTTTCCCCAAACTACCTTCAGATTCATTAATTCACAGAACTCACTGGAAGCTTTTATACTCATGGTATGGTTTATTACACTGAAGGATATATATTAAAATCAGCCAAGGAAAGAAGAGCATAGGGCTTCCAGGGAAGTACCAAATGCAGAGTTTCTGTTGTTTTCTCCCCAGAGAGTCAGAATGTATTGTTTCCTGACATTGGCATGTGACAATATGCACAGAGTTGCACACCAACCAAGGAGGCTCACCTGAGTCTTTGGTGTCCAGAGTTTTTATTGTGACTAGATCACATACTGCCCTCATGGCTGACCTTTAGTCTTCAGCCTCTCCCTTCCTCCCTTCTTGGTTTATTTTTTTTAATAGTAGTCACTCATTTTGTGTAAGCAGAAACAATCAGAAGAATAGCTGACTTCTTTAATTACTTTTGGTTTATTAGATTTAATCAGTTTTATATAGAGGCAAGCATAAGGTCTAGTTTATTTAAACAACTATCACATCGGTAGTATGAGCCAGGTAATTCATCAGTATTCACTGGGTTAGGCAGTTGGTACATGAGATTTCGAGATAAGCTGTAGAAGTTACAATTTTTATTTTTGGTGTCAGGCTGTGTGTATTCTATTCTCTATGGCTCTGAAAAACATAACATCCAGATTGTTTTGAGTCCCATTTATATTTCAAGTCAGTATTACTTCTCAGGGGGAGGGATAATATATTACATTCAGTATATTTTTCTAATTTTTCTTATCCTGAACTTGCTCATGTTCCAAAGGGTGTTCCATAGCCTAATAAGTAATAAGTTGGTTCATTTTATCTTATGAATGTTGTTCATAATTTTACTTTTGATCATGCCTTCTCTGTTTGTTTTCCAACACTGAGGGTTACGATTTTTCTTAGTTTTAGATTCAGAGTCAGGCTTCTAAAATGATGGTTATAGTTCTTCCCATTATATATTTTCTCAGCCTTCTATAGTCTATTTTCAAATACATCTTCATGCAGTAATAGATAATACTGAAGAAAAGAGAGTGGATTGTATGGTTACTTTAGAAATAGTAATAATAACATCCCACCAGTATTTAATATCATTTTGCTTTTGTTTTTAGGTCCATGGTTCAAAATCAGAGAAAATGAACATATATGGCGGCTTTCGACAGATGGTGAAAGAGGGAGGTATCTGCTCACTTTGGAGAGGAAATGGTACAAATGTCATTAAAATTGCTCCTGAGACAGCTGTTAAGTTCTGGGCATATGAACAGGTAATAATTATCACCTGTGGAATTTGTTAACAAAGGGGAGTTAATAAACTGATTCAATAACAATTATCATACAATGCTTTTTAGATTATTATTTTAATACATGATAATTTTCCACATATACCCCATGAGGAATTTCTCTTATAGGAGATTAGACTAGATAACCTCAGAGATCCCTCATGACTCAATTCTGGGATTCTGAATTTCATATTACTTAAAAAGCCTTTTGTGTTCTTTTCTAAGTAGCTCTTAAAAGAAACGTAAGATTTTAGCTTATTCATTTTGAATTCAGAATAGAAGCTGCACACTCACATAAGTTTTTGTGAAAGTATCCCCATCCAGCATCTGGAAGGAAAACTTTTAAGTTGAAGTCCTTTGTGTAATTTGACATTGCTATAAAATTGAGTTGAATTTAGAGTGAAAGCTCCGTGAAGGCAGGGGCTTGGCTTCTTCTCCGTGCACTCCAGCATTTAGACAGAGCCTGGCGTGTGATAAGTGCTCAGTAAGTGTCGAATGAGTGAGTGAATGAGTAAATGAATGAATGCATTTACCTCTGAATCAACTTCTCTGTTGACTTAGATTGTTTAGGATGCTTAGATGTTAGGATGCTGCTTCAGCATAACTTGGTGTTAAGAGGAAATAGAGTAGTGGATTTTAGAGTTTGGCTTCTCTTTGTCATTAGCAGAATTGTCTAGTTAAGCATGCACAAAATTATTCTTTCCACTATTTCTTCCATCATTGTTAACTATAGACGATAAGAACCTTGAAATTGAATCCCACCTTATATTTTGTATTATTTCAAATAGATTTTTGATAATTTTGGAGAACATTTTGTTCTTGAGCAACAGAATACTCTTGAGAAGATTACAAAGTCTAGTGGTTTTTTTCTTGGCTTAAGAAATAGAGTAGCAAAGAAAACATTGAAGAAAATCTAGCCTCCATGACTTTAATTACAGCTTATCTTTGGGAAGTATATTTTCCTTCTGTGAATGTTTGAAGATACATATCACGACTAGTAAGGGCTAGCATTTTAGATACCTGTAGGTTATTCTGATCACATACTTGGATTTTATGATAGGAAAACCAGACCCTAAAATAAATAAGTATTCAAGTATAAAACCATTATTCCATATGCAGGAAGTCAGTATTTTTGAAAGTCTGTATTGTTGCAAGCAAATGTATTTATTATACTTTATGCTACTTAGCAGATTCTTACCTTGAACACTACCAACAGGCATCCAGCCAGGCTCCTTTCTCAGGCCTCTTCACAATATTTAATTACTGCATGCTAACTTTTCTTAGAGATCAAGAGAAAGCTCTCTGCACAGTGTGGTATAGTGTTCTTGTGGTCTCTGGGACCTATTATGCCTGTCCATTTTCTGCCCCCTGCTGAAGGTCCTTTCATCCCTCAGGGTTCTCTCAAGGCCAAAGCTCAGCTTCCTATGAGAAGCATTTCCTAAGCATCCCAACCAAAACTGGTGCCTCTCCTGCCTGGTTTCCTTAGAGTACTATTTTACAGAATATCCAATTTTCCATCGGATAATGGAAAACCCATTGTTTTTCCCAGTGAGTTGTAAGCTACCTTGGCATAAATGTTATGCCATATATATTCTCAAATTTCCCAGAGTACCTAACTAGCTCACTTCTGTATTCAGGTAGGTCTTGTTCATTGAATAACTAATAGTTTAGAAAATGAAGAAAAGAATATTTTCAGCCTGGTACGTAGCTCTCTTAAACACATCAACATGGGATAAAGCTGCGGTCCATTTGGGTCCTCATTGCCATAGCAGTTCAATTGTATCAGGAACAGGGTGGCAGTACGGTGTTGTGTTCTCATGGTTTCAGCTGCCATCTGCATTCTAACTGCTTTCCATTCTAACATTTTTCTCTTCATCTCTATACCTGCACATCCACCTGAGCACTGCATATCTGTGCATCTCTGCTTACATATCCCAAGGGTACTTTACAGTCATCCCTCCCCCACCCCCCACTCCAATGACACACGCACACACCATTCCTCTTCCTGTAGGTCATATGGTGGTGAACATCTTTCAAGACTTTGCTCGGGAGTTATTTCCTCCAGGACACCTTCCCTTTGTTTCCCTCTGTTAGTGCTCTCACACTGAATTCTGATGATCTCAGTACTTATCTCTCTTCTTAAGGAGACTGTGAGCTTCCTTAGGCAGGATCTGTTTTCAGGTGTGTGTTCCCAGCACCTTGCCCAGTGCCAGTAAATCCTCATTGAATGAGCTTGAGTCTTAAGTCCATTAAGATGAAGGGGAAGATGGGTATTTGAGCAGAAGCAGCAGCCTGTGGACAGAAATGTTGGCACAGGAGAGCATCACTCACTAAGGAAGCTGAAGGTGGTTCACTGGGCTTAAGTGTAGTGGAGTGTGTGTCCGGGAAGATGATGATGAAAGCAGGCTGGACAGATAGGCAGGAGCCAGATGTGATAGGAGTCTAGATTTTATCCTGAATGTGGTGAGGGGGTTATTGAAGCATCTTACGTAGGGAAGTGGAATAAGTATATTTACATTTAAGAAAGATCAATGTGGAAAAAGAGTGAAGAGGTATTGGAAGAGAGTGAGGCTGTAGTTGAGGCAGGGAGACTATTTAAGGAAATATTTCAGGAATTCAGGTAAGAAATGATGAGTACCAGTATGAGGAGACGGCTGTAGTGATTGAAGAAAAACTGAAATGAACTGAAAACTATTTTGGGAAATAGAAACAACAGAGCTCACTGAGTGAATGTAGAGGTGAGAAAGAGGAATCAAGGGTGATACTCTGGTTTCTAACTTGAGCAACTAAGTATGTAGAGAACACAATAAGAGGAACAAGAGCAACTGATTTTGAGGTAAAACGACAGGTTGCATTTTGGACATGCTGGGTTTGAGCTATTTCTGTGACACGTACAAGGAGATGTCCAGTAGGACAGGGAGGTTGTGATTGAGGTGAAGCCTTTGGAATGGAGCCCTCAGGAAGGCTTATAGAATGAGAACAGTTCTGGGGATATGCCCAGGGAGAAGTAGGAGAAACTTGTAGAGGAGACTGAGAAAGAGAAGCCAAAGAGACAGGAGGAAATCCAGAGAAAGTGACGGCCTAGAAGTCAGAGGAAGACGAGGGTTCCACGAAGGGTCAAATACTGCAGGGTACTAAATACAATAAACAGTTTAGCTTTCAGAATTTACCAGCTCCGAGATAGGAAAGCTTGGTATAAATGTTTCAGTGAGGTAATGAGATGAGAAACCAATTGAAATGAGCTAAAGTGAACAGGAGGTGAAGAAAACTGGACAGTAGACACCTTTGTCAGGAGCTTGACTTCAGTGCAGGGAAGGAGAAAAAAAGAGGGAGAGAGTGATAGGTTAGAAGCATGTTGGGTTTTGATACGTTTCATTTTCATGACATGCCTATGGCTGAAGGAAGCATGTCAATACAAAGAAGGAGGTTAAAAAATATAAGAGAGAGACTGACGCCCAGTGCAGCAGGTATTCAGAGGAAGTATGTGTGTGGACTAGGGAGTGGGGGCTGGAGGGGCTGGGGGAGAAATGGGTACTAACCAGTCTGCTGGCAGGATTAACCTTTGACTGTGTGGAGGACTCTTCTCATGTCAGCTCGGGAAGAAAAAGATATAAGTGGATGCGGGTGATTTTGTGGGAAGTGGGCAGGAATACCAAGATACCCTTGCCTGGTGGCCTCTCTGTTCTTCCTTGAGTTCCCAAGAAAGGACTTTTTTTTTGAGAATGAGGGAGGAAGCGGTATTGGAAGCTGGAGGAGAATGGAGAAGGTTGAAATAGGTATTCTAACAAATGGAGAGAGAGTTGAGATAGATTGGATGGATGGATAGAAAGAAAAAGACACAAAGAAAATTGATAGGAAGGGAGGGAGGAAGGAAGGAAGAGAAGGAAAGAAAAGAAAAAAGAAAAGAAAAGAAGGAAGAAAGAAAGAGAGAAAGAAAGAAAGGAAGGAAGAAAATTGAAATCCTGAAAGGGGTTTTAGGCTGGCTTTGAGAGCACAGCTAAGTCATCTTTGAGAAAGTCAAATTCTGTGGCCTTGAGCAAGCCACTTAAAGTCTCTGTGACTGTTACCTCCTTTCTGGGGTAGGAATTAAGCTTGGTGACATAGTGTTAAGCACCTGTCCCTTTCCCTCACCCTGTACAGGCTCTCTGTCCTCAACTCTTACCTTTGTGCATTGTATGTTCTGGGGTGCAGGAGCCCCAAACCCCTACACTTTAAATATTTATTCACCAATCACTAAAGAATACTTTTGATAGGTGCTTTTGGGATGGGGGTACACTATGTAAACGATATCTCTGAGGTTCCTGTTCATATGCAGGAAGGTTTTCAATAAATTATATTTAATGATTGTGATAATCTGACATGCAGGAAAATTAATAGGGAGTTTTGGTTAACATTCTGGTGCAGTTCAGGAAATAGAGCCTGTGGAAACATTGATCTTTGGGGGTAAGCAGATAACTGCTATTTGGGGAACTTTGTGAAATTATAATATATTTAATTCTTATCATGAGCAGAGAAACACAGTTTTACTAGGAGAAAGTATTCCTGTGTTTTTGCATTGGGCTCTTTGGATCCCAAGGAACAGAGACTGGCTGGCTCAGGGAAGCAGGCTGGAGGTGGGGGTCACTGTGGAGGTGCCTGCGGCATTAAGGGGAGGAGCCTCAGGAAGTGCAGAAAGTGGAACCTCACTGACCTGTCCCTTCTCCATGTGTCTGCTTCTCTATTGCTTTATCCATTTTCTCCCTCAGGTGTCAGTGCCTAATTATACCTGTAGACCCACCTCACATTTCTAGGAGAAGGAATCTGGTTTGCCTGGCTTATAACCACAGTCTGTGTTCGGACTGAGATTTTCTCTCCAAGTTGTAGAAAGACAATATTGAATATGTTAGTAATAACAACAACAACAACAACAATAACATTTACTGAACATTTGCCATTTGCCCAGCACTGTGCTGTGTTATGTGTATTATCTTATCAAATTCTTTCAACAACCCCGTGAAACTGGGGTTATCACAGATGAGGAAACTAACTGCATGTGGACATGTTCATAAACTTGCTCAGGGCCACATAGACCTAGGGTTCAAGCCCAGGTCTGCCTGACTGTGGAGCCCATGATGTTAAAATCCTGTCCTATCGGTATTTCGGCTGCATTTGTGCCAGATTTCCCCCTTTGGCCAGATCAGCCATGTCGGTTGCTTTAGTACTGGTGGGCCAGGCAGGCTCTGGGGTCTACATGTTAGTATGGTTAAATGTATTACCTACAAAAACTGTTTTTCTAAGTTGTTTTGTTAATATTTATCATTTATTTATTAGTTTTACTTATACTGGTGAATATAAACTCATCTTAAAAAAAGGAAAACTATGGGGAAAATATCTAAAAACTGTGAACACTTTATTAACCTGTGCATCTGAGGAAGAATGTTGTGATGAATCTGTTTTAGCAGAGGAGCTTCCGGGTCCCCTCTGTGGACCATCTGTGTTTTGCGGAATTCTAACTTGAAAATCACTGTCCAGAAAACAATGTATTAGCATTCAAACCTTACTTTTCTGTTAGATATTGTTAATGCAGTGCATTAACAATTAATAATTAATGTGCATTTTGAGAAACATCATATTGTCAATTGATTTCTAGGAGCTGATTTGTATTTTTGTATTGTCTTAGCTTGGCCTGCCATAACAAAATACCATACGCTGGATTGTTTAAACAACAGAAGTTTATTTCTCACAGTTCTAGAGCTGGAGAGTCTGTCATCACGGTGCTGACCAATTCAGTTTCCAGTGAGGGCTCTCTCCCTGGCTTGCAGATGGCCACCCTCTCACTGTGTGCTCACATGGCCTTTCCTTGGTGCATACGTGTTGGGGGGAGAGAGAGAGAGGGGTGAGGGGTAGGGAAGGAAGGAGGGAGAGAGTGAGCATGTGTGTAAAAGAAAGAGAGAAAGAGAGAGAGGCCCCACCTCATGATCAAACCATAATTACCTCCCAAAGGCCCCAGCTCCAAATACTATCACATTGGAGGTTACAGTTTCAACATATGAATTTGTGTGGGGGGAGGGAGAAGGAGGGGGAAGAACGCAATTCATTCTGTAGCAGGTATTAATGTGCATTTAAAACTTTATTTACACAGTACAAGAAGTTGCTTACTGAGGAAGGACAAAAAGTAGGAACCTTTGAGAGATTCGTTTCTGGTTCCATGGCTGGAGCAACTGCACAGACACTTATTTATCCTATGGAGGTAAGTACCATTGTGAAGTCTGATTGCATTAACGGTGTTTGTATTATTATCTATTACTGTGTAACAAGTTATCCCAAGATTAACAGTTTAAAACAACAAGTATATATAATCTCACAGTTTCTGTGGATCAGGAATCTGGGTGTAGCTTAGCTGGGTTCCTCTGGCTCAGGGTTTCTCACAGCCTATAGCAGGGTGTCAGCCAGGGCTGCAGTCACTGCAAGTTTCAACTGGGGATGGATCTGTTGTCAAGCTTATTCACGTGTTTGTTGCCAGGTTTCCCTGGCTGTTGGTTGAAGATATCAGTTCCTTATTGCAGGGTCCTCTCCATAGGATGCTTGAGTATCCTCACAACATGGTAGCTGGTTTTTCCAAATCAGTTATCAAAGAGAGCACCCAAGATAGAAGCTGCAATCTTCGGTCACATCTGGTCTATTCTGTTGGTCACAAAGACCGCCCCTGGTAGAGTGTGGAAGGGGACTGCACATGGTGCGAATACCAGGAGGCAGGGATAGTTGGGGGCCATCTTCGAGGCTGGCTCCCATAGTGTTGATAAGAATTATAGCACCCATTCCTCTCCAAAGAGTTTCTGTACCATAAAATTAGTAATGGAACCTTAGAATTTGATTAGATGGTGGTAATCCTAACTGGACATCCTTTTATTAGAGCATAGGTTAGCAAACCATGGACCTGTGGACTGTTTTGTACAACACTTGAGCTAAGGATGGTTTTCATATTTTTACCTTTTTAAGGTGGTTTAAAAACAACAACAACAAAAAAGCAATACCAAAGAATATGCAACAGGGACCTGGTATTTCAGTCCTGCAAAGACGAAAATATTTACTTTATAGAAAAAGTTTGCCAACTCCTGCTTTAGAGCAAGAATAATATTGTAGATGTGGATATCTTTATTGATATGACAAAGCGTTTTTCAGTAACTGATAAGCTTAAGAAATACTGTTAGTTTTCACCTTTGTGGTATGCATATTAATAGAGCTTTCCTTGCAGGCATCTTAATATGATTGTTCATATTACTCCACACATCCCTCAAAAAATATCCTAATTCAATACCTAGGCTTCCTCTTATATCCCCCATCTCAGTTAATAGCATCACCTTCCCTCTTCTCTGCTGGCCCCATCCCAAGTTCCAAGCTAGAAACCCTGGGATCATCCTTTACACTACCATTTCCCCCTCCCTCCATATCTAATACATCACAGTTTTGTTAAGATGTCAATAGATTATCTTCTCTCTATTTCCTCTGCCACTGCCCTAATTCAGATCATCTTTACAGCAAAAGGGATCTTCTTGGCTCTGGTCTTAGACCCTTAAGAGAGATAATATGTGAGAGAGAACACATCAACAAAATGGACAGTCATTTGAGTGACAATATATGCTAGATATTTGTTCTTTGTAAAGTTACTTCTTTTGAATTCTGTAATGATAGCGTTGATGTGAATAATAATATTCATTATATTCTTTCATAACCAGGTTCTGAAAACCAGGCTGGCTGTAGGCAAAACTGGACAATACTCTGGGATGTTTGATTGTGCCAAGAAGATTTTGAAACACGAAGGCATGGGAGCTTTTTACAAAGGTTACATTCCTAATTTATTAGGCATCATACCTTATGCAGGAATAGATCTTGCTGTGTATGAGGTGAGTTTGTAGCAATCTTTTGAATCTGAAAATGTAATTAAATAGTTCTCATTGTTAGAATTTGACTTTATATAGAGAGGTACATATGTACCAGGAAACAGTTTGTGACCAAAAGTAGATTCAAGAGTGTGTTCTTTTATCTTTCTTTTCAAGTTCCTTGAATATGAGACCCCATATGCCTGTGGTCACTTTTGTATTAGATTTGCCTGTTAATTATTTTTATTCATGAAGAGAATACTCTCACATTCAGATATAGTTGTTCACTTCTCTAGCACCGTATACACAAATAAAATCAAAATAGATTAAAGACCTAAATGTATGACTGGATACTATAAAACTCCTAGAGGAAAACATAGGCAGAACATTCTTTGACATAAATCACGGCAATATTTTTTTGGACCCATTTCCGAGAGTAATGGAAATAAAAACAAAAATAAACAAGTGGGACCTAATTAAACTTAAAATCTTTTGCACAACAAAGGAAACCATAAACAAAACAGACAACCTGCGGACTGGGATAAAATATTTGCAAACGATGCTGCCAACAAGGGATTAATTTCCAAAATACACAAATAGCTTAATATCAAAAGAACAGCCCAATCAAAAAATGGGTAGAAGTCCTAAATAGACATTTCTCCAAAGAAGACATACAGATGGCCAACAGGCACATGAAAAGATGCTCGATATCGCTAACTACTAGAGAAATGCACATCAAAATTATAATGAGGTATCACCTCACACCAGTCAGAATGGCCATCATTAAAAAGTCTACAAATAATAAATGCTGTGGAGAAAAGGAATAATAATGCTGTGGAGAAAAGGGAACCCTTCTGCACTGTTGGTGGGAATGTAAATTGGCACAGCCACTATGGAGAAGAGTAGTGAGGTTCCTTGCCAAATTAAAATAGAACTGCCATACGATCCAGAAATCCCACTCCTGGGCGTATATCTGGAGCAAACTCTAATATGAAAAGATACGTGCACCCCGGTGTTCATAGCAGCACTTTTTGCAATACCTGAGACATGAAAGTTAAGCTCTGGGTCCATCAACAGATGAATGGATAAAGAAGATGTATTTATACACAATGGAATATTACTCAGCCATAAAAAAGAATGAAATAATGCTATTTGCAGCAACATGGATAGAACTAGAGATTATCATATTATGTGAAAGACAGAAAGACAAATATCATATGATATCACTTATATGTGGAACCTAAAAAAATGATATAAATGAACTTATTTACAAAACAGAAATAGACTCACAGACATAGAAAACCAACTTACAGTTGCCAGAGGGGATAGTGGGAGTGGGAGGGATAAATTAGGAGTTTGGGGTTAACATATACATACCACTATGTATAAAATAGTTAACAACAAGGACCTACTGTATAGCACAGGGAACTATATTCAATGTCTTGTAATAACCTATAATGGAAAAGAATCTGAAAACAAGAGTATAAATGAATCACTTTGCTGTATACCTGAAGCTAATAAAACATTGTAAATTAATTGTACTTCAATTTAAAAAAAAAGGTTATTACAGATACAGTTGTTCAGTTTAGCAGATGATATTAGGGATTTTTTTGAGGAGAGAGAAATAAGCAAAAATAGCACATTTTCTTTGGTTTGTTAAAATTTAACATTGATAAAACCAAGAGACTGATGTGGGTAGTACAGATTCATTCCTTGTACTTGTCAACCTGAAGAAACCTAGGAGGCAATAATCAAACACAACGCATTTATTTGGGATCAAAGAATTGCAATTCGGTACACACAGATTTGGGTATCAATCTGAACAGTGTCTGCTAGGGAGTAAAAGTTAGGGGTTTTCTGGAGGTTTTTTTTGTTTGTTTGTTTTGTTTTGTTTTTTTTGTGGTACGCGGGCCTCTCACTGTTGTGGCCTCTCCCGTTGCGGAGCACAGACTCCGGACGCGCAGGCTCAGCGGCCATGGCTCCCGGGCCCAGCCGCTCTGCGGCATGTGGGATCATCCCGGACCAGGGCACGAACCCGTGTCCCCTGCATCGGCAGGCGGACTCTCAACCACTGCGCCACCAGGGAAGCCCAAGTCAGGGGTTTTTAATGGCAAAGAAGGGAGGTTTGCATTACAAAGAATTTTAGTTGGAGCTGAAGGCAGAACCTAGTTGGCTAAACATGATTGATTGCTAAGGCTATCATTAGAGGGAGGTAAGAGTTCGTTACTGTGACAAGTTGCAGGTGTTCTAGCAGAGTTCTTGGGCTGTCTGTGGTGTGGCCCAGTTCATATGTTTATGGTTCCGCCTGGTGAGACAGGCATAAGGTCCACCTCTTGAGTGGCCTTCCAGCTTCATTTTAAAACCCCTTGACATAAGTGACTCCATCTTATGTTACATATCCCCCTTTTGATCAAGATCATTCTCTAAAAGCATTGCCAATCAACTTACAGATTTGCTTTGTCTCACATTGCTGGGATGGACCTGTCCCAGAAAGTCATGTCCCATGTTGGGGGGAATTTTTAATTTCCAGTGGTTATTTCAAGGAGTCAGTGTCATAGGGTTAGACCATTGGGCAACAGGGAGGCACAGGAAATGACTCCTAGGAGATTTGGTGGCTTGTACGGCAGTTGTCCTCGTGGCCTGATTAGCCCAGTTATTTCTTTTGGTTTCATCTGAATTTAATTTTGGATGCCCAGGTACCCTCATGATGGCTAGGACAGATGGAAGTTGGATCGATTCCAACAATTTATTGACCCAATTTTCATTCTTAATCTGGCTTCCCCCTGAGGTTAAGAATCCTCTTGTTTTCTAAAGCATGCCAAAGTCGTCAGCTACCCTAGAGGCAAAGCGACAATCTGTATAGGTATTCACAGTTCTACCTTCTGCTAGGGTGCAATCTCTAGTTAAACCATGGAGTTCTGCCTGCTGGGCTGAAGTAGCCGTCAGCAGTGGAGCTGCCTCAGTTACTTCAAAGGAGCAGATGATTGCATACTCAGTACAATATTTTCCTTTGCCATTTTTCAAACAAGAACCATCAGTAAGCCATGAAATCTCAATGTTAGCAACAGGGATTTCTTGTAAGTCAGCTCTAAGGGTTAATAACCGATCAGTCAGGGGCAGACAGTCGTGAGGAGTTTTGTCACTAAGTAAGGGGAGAAGCGTTGCAGGGTTGAAGTTGTCGTCGCGGGAAAGGGTTGTGTGAGAAGTCAATAATGATATTTCATGCAGGGTAAGACAGCTTTTGCAGGAAGGTGTTGAGTGTGATGAGAATTGTGCAAGCCTCCTACCGCTTGGGGGAACATAGATGGTGAGTGGAGAGCCCGTAACTATTTCCTCAGTTGATGCTGTAAGGGCTGTTGCTGCTGAAATAGCTCTCATGCTGGAGGAAGGCCTCTGGCTACAGGTCTGATTGTTGAGTGTAATATCCAAGGGGTTGGTGTTGACCTCTGTGCCTTTGAGTAAGCGCTCCTAAGCCATTTCTCTTCTTTCGAACATGAAGTGGAAAAGGGGAAGCTAATAATTAGTATGTCCTAAAGCAGGGGACTGCAAAGTCCACTTTTCAGGTTCTGGAGCCCTAAAGGCGTTTTCTTCCCACTCTAAAGGATCTGGTCTTTAAGCTTTGAGAGGCTGGGCAACTAAAAAATTAAGTATCCAGTTTCTGTTGTATCCAGTCAGCCCGAAATATCTTTAAAGTTGTCTTTTGGTCTGTGGCTATGGGAAATTTAAGACACTTTGAATCCTATTAGGGTCTTAAAGGAGTCCTTAATCCGAGATCAAGGGTCCTAGGTATTTGACCTGTGTTTGAACAAGTTGTAATTTCTCTTTAGAGACCTTTATGACCTTTAGTTGCTAACAGCTTGGGGAGATGGATGCTATCTTGCTCACTTGCCCCGTGGGAAGAGGAGCAAAGAAAGTCATCAACCTATTGAAAAGGATGGACACTTACAGAAAAATGACACCTGCTAAATCTGCTTTTAGGATCTGTAAAAAGTAGGAAGGACTTTTAGTCTAGACTTGTGGCATGACACAGTCCAGGTGTATTGTCCTTCCCACATGAAAGCAAATAAAATTTGACTTTCAGAATCCACAGAGATGCTGAAAAAGGTGGTACAGAGGTCAGTTATAGTGAAAAATTTATTCTCTGTAGGTATTGCCATTAAAAGGGTATGAGGGTTAAGGGCAACTGGATGATGATTGATGGCAATGTTATTAATAGCCCTCAAATCTTGGACAAATCTCCATCCTCCTCTGTGGGGTTTCTTAATGAGGAGAATGGGTGTATTACAGAGACTAGTGTAGGGGACTATGAGGTGTTGTGTTTTTATTCCTCTGTGATTGGTTTAATTCCTGCTAAGATCTCAAGATTTAAAGAATATTGTTTAATGTTAGGAAGAGGCTGACCGCGGCCAATTTGAATTTTAATTGAGGGAGCCAAATGAACCTGCCCAACGTGGGTTGTGGATTTTGCTGAGTCTCTCAGGGACTTTTTTGAGTTTTAAGTTTATGTTACCTTCCAAGCTTGCCTTAAGGGCAAAAACTGCTGATAGGGTTGAGGAGCTTGGAATGCCATCAGTTGTTGAGGGGTTGAGATAATTTCAAGGATACTTTCCCCTCTTGGGAAAAAGGGATACAAGTATTGATCTCTCTTCGTCTCTGCTTTCAGTTCCTTTGGGTATATACCTATCAGTATACAAAATTGCTGGGTCATATGGTAATTCTGTGTTGAGCTTTTTGAGGAACAAACTGTTTTCTTTAGAAGCTGCACCATTTTTCATTCCCACTAACAGTGCGTTTTCATGCATCCTTGTTAATATTTGTTAATTTCTGGTTTTTTGGGGGTTTTTTTTTGTGCTACGTGGGCCTCTCACTGTTGTGGCCTCTCCCATTGCAGAGCAACAGGCTCCGGACGCACAGGCTCAACGGCCGTGGCTTACGGGCCTAGCCGCTCCACGGCATGTGGGATCTTCCCGGACTGGGGCATGAACCCGTGTCCCCTGCATTGGCAGGCGGACTCTCAACCACTGCGCCACCAGGGAAGCCCGGGTTTTTGTTTTTTGATAGTGCCCATCCTAACAGGTGTGAGACAATATCTCATTGTGCTTTTGACTTGCATTTCTGATGATAAGTGATGTTGAGCATCTTTTCATATGCTTGTTGTCCATTTATTTATCTTCTTTGGAGAAATGTCTATTCAAGTCCTTTGCCCATTTTTTAATTATGTTATTTTTTATTGTTGTTGTTTAATTGTAGGAGTTATTTATATATTTTGGATATTAAATCCTTATCAGATATATGGTTTACAAGTATATTCTCCCATTCCATAGGTTACCTTTTCACTCTATTGGTTGTTTTCTTTGCTTCACAGAAGTTTTTAAGGTGATGAAATCCATTTGTCTATTTTTGCTTTTTTGCCTGTGCTTTTGGGATCATATCCAAGAAATTGTTGCCAAAGCCAAGGTCCTAAAGCTTTTATCCTGTGTTTTCTCCTAGGAATTTTATAGTATTAGGTCTTATGTTTCATCCCTGGATTTATTTTGAGTTAGTTTTTTGTATATGTTGTAAGATAAGGATCCAACTTTATTCTTTTGCATGTGGGTATCCAGTTTTCCCAGCAACACTTTTTTTTTTTTTTTTTTCTTTTAAATTTTTGGCCCCACTGCACAGCATGTGGGATCTTAGTTCCCCGACCAGGGATCGAACCCGTGCCCCCTGCAGTGGAAGCACGGAGTCTTAACCACTGGACTGCCAGGGAAGTCCCCCCAGCACCATTTGTTGAAGAGACTGTCCTTTGTCCAGTGTGGGATCTTGACACCTTTGCTGAAGATCATGCGCCCATGTATTCAAGAATTTATTTCTGAGCTGTCTATTTTGTTCCATTATTCTATGTATCTGTCTTTATGCTAGCACCACATTATCTTGATTGCTGTTGCTTTGTAATAAACATTGAAATCAGGAAGTGTGAGGTCTCCAACTTTGTTCTTTTTCAAGGTTATTTTGGTTAGGTGGGGTCCCTTAAGATTCTATTTGAATTTTTTTTCTATTTCTTCAGACAATGTCATTGAAATTTGAATAGGGATTACATTGAATATGCAGTTTGCTTTGGGTAGTGTATTAGTATGTTTGGGCTACCATAACAAAATACCAGAGACTGGGAGGGTTAAACAAAAGAAATTTACTTTTTCACAGTTCTGGAGGCTAGAAGTCCAAGATCAGGGTTCTGGCTGATTTGGTTTGTGGTGAGGCTCTCTTACTGGCTTGCAGACAGCTGCCTTCTTGCTATGTTCCCAGAGGGAGAGGGAGAGAGAGTTGAGTGAATGAATTCTCTGGTATTTCTTCTTATAAAGGCACTAATCCTATTGGATCAGGACCCCACTGTTATGACCTTGATGTTGCCAGAGAACCTTCATAAGGTGATAGAATTTTGAGAATATCTATAAATTGAGGGGTACAAAGCCAATAAAGAGGGGGAGACAAAAATAAATAAGTAAAAAAGTATATATAGTGAGATCTGAGAGGCAAGGAATGATAATGGATCATAGGATGTAGAAGAAAATGATTATGGGACACACAGAGAGGACTTACAAGATCATGTATATTTTATAGGATTTTAAATTAATTGTTTTAAAAGTGCATTTTCCTACCTCCACCCCCCCCCCCAATTCTGGTGTTAATAGGGTAAATAGTTGCTTAGTTTCTAGTGAATCACTTCTCTTTTCTCATTTTTCCCCCCCCCCCCCCCCCCCAATTCTGGTGTTAATAGTGTAAATAGTTGCTTAGTTTCTAGTGAATCACTTCTCTTTTCTCATTTTTGTAGTTCAGACATGGTTGTCGTTAGCCTTACTGACTTTATTTCTTGTCATATTACAGTACTAAATGGACCTTAAATAAGACACTTAAATATAATCTTTGTTTTCAAATTTATAGAGATATTCTTGTTATATAATTGTAAGGTCCAAGTATGCAGTTAAATTTTATCTTAAAATATTTAAACTAGTATATAATTTCCCCCACATATTAGCATATATTTTAATACTTCAGATATTTTTTATTTGAAAAGTAGATGATACATTTCTCTCAATTAATTGCCTTCTAATGGAAATACAAAGACCTAGGATAATAGGGAAGAAGCATGGCCTGAGGATCCATATACTTGATTCAGCACCCTTGTTTAGAAAACCCCACTGAGACTAATTTTCCTCATTTCTAAAATCAGAAGAATAGCTCCCCCTCAGAGCTTTTGTAGAAGGACTGAATGAAATAACATATGTGTAAAGTACAAAATTAGATGCAGTTTGTAGTATTATATTATTTTCATTGATAAGCACCGTAGGAAATGTTGTTTAGATCCTAGTCTGGTGTGCTGTTGATCTTTACATTTAGTTAGAAGATGAGCACCCAGTCACACCTCTCATGTTTTGAATCCCCTGTGGCTTCCCCACCTCTCTACAGAGCTGCTGCTTCCTACAGTGGCTGTGCCACCCAATCTTGCAGAAATGTGTCCTGTCTCATAAGCATGAGAGTAGCTGTGAGAACATTCACGTTGAGTGAAAGCAGTTGTAAAGTTAGTTGTTTATTATTTTTCTTCTTTTCTGTTTCTCTGGCAGCTCTTGAAGTCCCATTGGCTAGATAATTTTGCCAAAGACTCTGTAAACCCTGGAGTCATGGTGCTGCTGGGATGTGGTGCCTTATCCAGCACCTGTGGTCAGCTGGCCAGCTACCCCTTGGCTTTGGTGAGAACACGCATGCAGGCTCAAGGTGAGTTTTGGATAAAAGGATGACACTGATAAAGTAGTGCATCAGTAACATGCTTTTGGAACTCCAGGTTCCACTGAGACAGCAGAGTGTGGTTTTAAGATAGTATTTCTCAACCTTTTTTGCATTATTGCCTCCTTAAGGAAGCTTTTTAGAAATTCTTTTCCGAATCAGTTCCTCTTCATGAAATTTTAATACCATGGATACTCTGTGCATATATTGTATGTATATCTGTGGTTTAGCACAGAGTAAGGTTTTCATGCTGCCGTTGAGAGTGCATGTTTTAAGAGTACAGTTGGCCCTTCATATTCGTGGGCTCTGCATCCATGGATTCAACCAATTGTCGATCGAAAATATTCAGGAAAAAGACTCCCAAACTCCAGAAAGTTCCAAAAAGTAAAACTTGCATTTACCATGCAGTCCACTCTTTACATTTGTATTTACAGATCATCTACATTGGAAGTACTGGTTAATTAATGATTGACTGCTTGGTTGGGAGAGGGAGGTTGGTACTTGGAAGAGAGATTGGGGATAGAGGCATCTTGATGCTCAGGGAGTACTGTTTAAAGAAATGGTAGTGGGTGAGATTGGCCAGGGATAAAGCAGAAAGTGAAAGAAAGGCACAGAATGAATACTACTTTAGCATAGCAATAAAAGCCAGCAAATCATAAGAAAGGAGAATACTGAATCAGACGGCAGGAGAGCCAGGAGGGCGCTGTGTAATCAAAGTCGAGGAGACAGTGTCACAGTGGGGAGGAATCACAGTTCAGAAGTTGTAGGTCCCATAATAACAAACAACTCTAGCCACCGTTTACTGAGAATTTGACAGATGCCAACTGCTTTACATATGTTGCTACTGATTCTTTCAGTGCTGTGCAGTTTTCATTCCATTTACAAAAGAGAAAGACCATCAGCTTTCAGCTCTCCCACTTGGCTAGCTAAGTGTGTTAGGACAAGTTTCTCTATCTTTCTAAACCTCCGATTCCTTACTTATTAAATGGGTATAATAACACTTACCTTAGAGGATTGGTATATAAAGTAATTAACTCAATATCTAGCACAGAGTAATCACTCATATTTGTTATAATCAGGGCATTCACTGTTAGGTGCCATACAGGGAGAATTATATAAAGGGGCACTTTCTTGGGCCCCTTGGAATAAATTTTATCCTTTTATTCTGTTCGTTCTAGAAAATCATTCTGAATCATAATTGCATAGTCATAATAAAACATGCATGAATATTAAATTAGCCTGGTTTCTTTTTTAATTTTCTAGCCATGGTAGAAGGAACCCCACAGCTGAACATGATTGGGCTCTTTCGACGAATAATTTCTAAAGAAGGAATACCAGGACTTTACAGAGGCATCACCCCAAACTTTATGAAGGTGCTTCCTGCTGTAGGCATCAGTTATGTGGTTTATGAAAATATGAGACAAACTTTAGGAGTAACTCAGAAGTGACATGCTGAATTTTTTGCTTTAACATAATTATTGAAACTTTCAACCATCTCCAGAGTGACCTTTTCTCCTAGAACTGCAACAAGTCCATGGCAAAAAGAAGCTGTATTTTTTTTTCACAAAAGGGAAGAGCATATCAATGGTAACTTCAAACATTTGGACTCAATTTTATACATTCAGAAATGCTAAAAATCATTGTTTTGATAAGCTCATACAGTTTTGAAAAGGCAATAAAATTATATTTTTTCTTATTAGTCCCTCCTGCAAATCTCTGCCTGGAATCCTAAATCTGAAAAAATGTACTTGCTTGAACTAAATTTGCTTTGTGTGAATTATAAATCTTTGATCTTTATTTTGGTTGGTTCAAGTTTATGCCAGTTTCTTTATACTTAAATATCTTTTTCTTAAAAACAAAATGATTGGAAAACCTAGAAACTTAAATTGTTTATATATTTGGAATGTCTTTATAAACTTCTTAAAATTTCTTTGTAGGACCATTCATGGAGAATCATTGCATGAAAACATAATCTTACAGCAGCCAAATAGGTATAAGGTCTATAATCTTTTTTTAAGCTGAATAAGAATGAACATAAGCGGCAGAACTTCAAGGCATGTGAATACCCTAGTCCACTCAATTGATTTTTGTGTAAGGAAGAGTGATAAAATAATATTTATTTCAGTGAGCACTTCTCCATTTTTCTTGTACTGTTATTTGGTTCCCAGGATGACACACTGATTGTCAGTATATTACTGTTAAATTATCAACACAAGGCAACTTATTTGAAAAATTCTGTTTATTGTCATTGCTTTGAAAAGCACCAGGAAACAAAACCCTTTTACTTGTATCAGTTTCTGAAGAGCATCTCTCTTCTCTTTGTCCTTTGTTTCCTACTTGAATCAGACTTCCATTTTAATCAGGAAGGCTTCTGGGGACCATTCTTGGTTATCTGAAATTTCTTAATTACATGAAGTAGGTTGATCATGGGTGAATGGCATTCTCATTTCCCCCTCACTTTTTTTTTTTTTTTTTTTTTTTCAGTACGCGGGCCTTTCACTGTTGCGGCCTCTCCCGCTCCGGAGCACAGACTCCGGACGCGCAGGCCCAGCGGCCATGGCTCACAGGCCCAGTCGCTCCGCGGCATGTGGGATCCTTCCAGACTGGGGCACGAACCCGTGTCCCCTGCATCGGCAGGCGGACTCTCAACCACTGAGCCACCAGGGAAGCCCTCCCCCTCACTTTTAATTTATTTGACCCTGCAATTCTCAATTTGGGCAGCACAAAGCTAGGAGAATAGTATATATTAATAGTAGTATATATTAATTTTATATATTTGGTACTATAAGTGAAAGGCCCAATTTACAAACATGTACATTCATATTTTCTCTTGCCCCCAGCTTAGAAACACATTATGATATAGAAAATTTGATTTATAATATTGATAGCATGTTTTTATTTTACTGAAGCCATTTTTTGTACTCAACTATCTTTTCTGATTTGTGTGATTAGGACTTAGAAAAATATTTATTAGTTGAAGTTATTCTTATCATTTTTCAATTTAGTTCTTTTTTTTAAACATCTTTATTGGAGTATAATTGCTTTACAATGGTGTGTTAGTTTCTGTTTTATAACAAAGTGAATCAGCTATACATATATCCCCATATTCAATTTAGTTCTTAAACTCAAGTTTTATTTCTAGTAATTTGTTATAAATTGCCAACATTTTAATGGAAATCTAGTGACATAATAGGCATTTAATTTATTTGAACCTACCTCTCGTATTTTCCGAACCAGAGAGAAATGTTGGACTTGTGTTTGTGAAACATATCCTAACATACAGTTTTCATTATATTAATTATACCTGATAAATGTCTCAGCATTTTTATAATACATATGATAAGAATGGGACTCTGTCTTCAGGGTGTTTGTACTTTTGAGTAATACATAAATGACAATATTAAGGTACATGATTAGCTCTTTTTTCACTTGTAAAATTATGGAATGAGTAAAATTTCAGCTACTGAAAAATATTCATTGTTCATTATGAATTTAAATTGTTTGCTCTTTAACATTTGTAAGGAATGAATGTGATTTATCTGTGTATCTTGTATCTTTTGAAAAGAGCCCGGAGTTGAAGATAGTTTATTTCTGGCATTACTGCATATTTACTTTCTGTTTATATTAAAATGTTTTTGAAATGTCTTGTTTCCTCATTTTAAAAAAAATAGTGTAACTAAGGCAAAAAAATGGCTGTGGCATGGAGTTTATATCTTTGGCAGCAGTTTGAATAGTCTGTATAGTATTACTGAATAAGACTCACTGTAGTCTTTCCAAATATTTTGACCTTTTCTGAACAGCCATAACAGTTATTACCTCTGTCATATATTTTGGTATAAGACGATGTTTTTCGTGATGTCCAAATTCCACATTTACCATTAAGGGTGATACCCCCGGGGCTCATAGTGCCAAAGAGAGTCCAAAGTCACGGGGCTCCTTGGCACATCTTGGTGGAGTACCAGTTTGTCTTGAAGTTGTGGGAAACAAAAGCTAAGTAAGTTTACTGGTAAGTCATTAAAACAATTTTATAATGCAGATTTTACCACTATAAAGATTATAAAATTTGATTTAAAAAAATAAAACATAAGACTGCAAAGAAATTCTGCTTTCCAACTTGAATGCTACCCGGCCTCCAGAAAAAACGTATTTGCCCTCCTTGGCTCTCAGGGACCCTTTATTAGAAAAATGTCGCCAATTTGTTTCTTACACATTTGTCTTGTATCCAGAGCGTAAGCTTCACATGAACAGGCATTGCATTTTATACTATTTTGTTTTTTGAGCTTTACATCAGGTCACATGTATAAAAGTATGGCATAGGTTCCCTATGCCCAAATAAGAATTTTCCCAGCTCTTTTGTTCTCATGGAATATCTTTGTTTTGAGAAGAGCACCGAACGAGTAATGATATGTGTGAAGAGGAGGAACCAATAACCCTCCTCCTCCTCCTTTGCCATATTCCCTGCCTGGGAGAAACACAGAGCAGACTGAGCTCATCAAATCGCTCTCCAGGAGAGCATGCCCTGCAAAATTCCATCTGCCCTTCTGCTTCCATGTAGGACAGAGCTGTGCTGAGGTCCAAGCTGCCTGGGCCTGGACCTGGACCTGCTGCAGCCCTCTGACCACAGTGCAATTGAAGACACCTGTTCACAGCCTTCTGGTTTTTTTGTTTTTGTTTTTTGCTTGTTTTGTTTGTTTGCAAATTGGGCTCCACAAGCCTATACTTAGATGCTGGGCCATAGCCACTGCAGCATTGTTTGTTGTGAAAGCAGAAGTGCCCGGAGCCTGGGCCACTTGGCATTTATTCTGTAAACATTCACTTGCTCATTGGTTCTTTCAGTGAGAATTTATTAAACACCTACTGTGTGTCAGATACTTTCAGGGGCTGAGGACACAGCATTGAACAGGACTCCATACTTTTCCTAATGGAGTTTATCTAGTGGAGACAGACAACAAACGAAGTAAGTAAAGTATGTAATAGATCAGATGGTGATAAGTGCAGAAGGCAATGCTGGGGCCGAGGTGGCAATTTTAGGCAGAGAAGACCTTGCTGAGAAGGTGCTGTTTGAATAAAGGGCTGAAGGGGGCATGGGAATATGCCACACTGGTGTCTGGGAAGGGCATTCCAGGCAGAGGGAATGCAAGTAAAGGCTGTGGGTGGAGGGAACATCGGGGAGGTCAGTGTGCCTGGAGTGGGGTGAGCAAAACGGAAGGTATTAGGCGATGAAGCCACAGCGGGCTGGAGGGAGGCCTGTCTGCTGAGCACTTCCGGTACTGCAATAGCCACAGTTCCTTGGTAATGTTTCCTAACCAAGATTCAGATGTCTCTCCTCTGGGGGTGGGAGGCTCATTATGGGAAACATCATTGAAAAACCTTGCAGTTTCTGTAACTGTCGTGTCCATCACACACACACTGCTGTCCCAACATAGTGGCCCTTTCCCTAGGTGGCATGTCTATAGGCTACTCTTTGCCTTTCCTTCTCTGGGGAGGATTTTAATTTTTAAAAGACAAATTAACTTAGAGACCTTAAAATCTTTCTAGATATTTTCCTAAGAATTAGAGAACTTGAATCTTAGCAAACCAGCAAAGCTGTCATTGTGCTCACTTCCTTCTCTGACCACCTTGTAACTGCCCAGGATTTATTTGTTTATAATTTATACAAATTGTACAATATTGAAAACAATCCTTTTATTTATTGTTTGTTAGTTGATATTGTCTTGCTTTGAATTTACTTCCACCAAGTCAAGATAATAGTAACTGAAGAAGTGATTTGTATTTTGTTACTTTTAAAAGAGGGCCAGGGATTTTAAAGCATTATGAATTACTCTTTCAAACCGAACCTTATCACAGATCCTTGGTATTTGCTAATCAGGTGTGTTTTCCAAGAGTTTACACTCCTCTTGTTACACACCATTCTACAATACAGTCATGACCATGGGTTCAGGATGAATTAGCTTAAATTCCAGAACCTGTAATCAATGTCAGCCGCAGATATGCATCACTCAACCCCCAGGGGGGGGTCTCCACGTGAATCTTAGTGTGCCGACTGGGATGTGCAAAAAATGTGACATTTCTGAATTTTCTTTAAATTAGCTTAAATCCAGCTGGAAGCTCCTATACCACTCAGTGTTGTGCAAGTGACCTGGGATCTTGGCCCCTATGGACACTGGTCATGGTCTACCATGACCAGTTGCTGCTAAGGGGCCCTTTGTTGCAGCCTGTATAGTCCCTTGGCCCCAATGGCTGTGCTGTGCTTGGCATGGGGGTAGTTGGTAAGACATGGGGCATCTGTACCTGGGTTCTGCCCTTTCCATTCTGCAAGGGTTAGGAGTTGAATGTGAATCTCTCCTTACCTTGGGACCCACCAACCTATGTCTCCTTTCCAGGCCCTGGGTTTGTCCCTTTTTCTTTTTGCTCTTAAATGCACCCATCTGCTCATCCCCTGGGACTCCTGGCATCCTCTCTGCAGGTAACTTAGATGCTTGCAAAAGACAGAAGAGCCTCTGATTGAAAGTGACTTCTGTTTTCCACTTCTAAAAATCACTGAGGGAAGGAGATATTAAAGCCCTGCCTCCTTGTCTGAAATGAGATGAAAGGGAACATATAAGGGGAATAAATACAAATTAGTCTTTCACTCAGTTATCTTGCTGTAGGCTCTCAAAACACCTCCTGCCTCTTGTACTCTGTGTCTCAGGAATGAGCATTATTGTGCCGCAGAGTGGTGGGCTCTGCTCACGTGAAACAACACATCGTTCGGCCTACTGAATCTCTAAATCCCCAGAACGTTACTGATATGTGGCAGT